TCCGTCTGGGACAAATGTATTGTTTTCTGAAACTCCTGCCCCTCGGGACGACGACCGACGCTTTTATTCGAAACGTGTGCCTGCAAGATATTTTTTCATGCATTTAATGTAACCGGCTGTCAACAGCACATATTTTGAGAACTGACGACGAATTAAAACGAACTTTGGCTGACTGGCTGCGAAAATACGTAACGAGACCGCACAATTTTCTATTTGAAACGAAATCAGGAAATTCCTCTTCGTCGCGCAGATCATTCTGCAAATAATGCTCGTATTTCCTGCCATCCATCATCCAAGAAAGATTACACTGGAAACGAAGCGGAAAATTGCGTGACTGACTCAGAAGCTCTGCTACATTTTCATTATCCCTTGCGCAAATGGCAGCTACATGCCTGTTTTGCCTGCAGGTGTTTTGTTTGTTTTGTTGGGTTAGGCCCTTTCGGTCGACAAGACCATTGCAGAGCCGGAAGGATGATAGGAATTAGGGGGAGACATTGGTCTGGGCAGGCACCCTAGTGAGTCGCCGGGGCTGAGCCCGTCCAGAGGACAGGCCACCCAGCCCCAAGGCACTCACTGCACCCGGCTACGGGGTGCGCTCCCTCAGGAGCAGCGGTGCCGCTCCAAGGGAGCAGCCCGCATGAGATAAAGTTGCCTGCCCAGCCCGGAAGGGGGCTGTGGCGTGGAGGAGAAGGATTTCAGTATCCTGAGGATAGAAGCACGGACAGGTGGCCTGCAGGTGTGTGGGCTCACAGTATAGGCGTGGGCGCAGGGCGGCCCATGTGGCGCGTTTCGGCTATTCTGGTGCGCCACTGCTTGCCGTGTGATATCCCGTTTGCCGGCGAATGAGTAAACATTTCGCGTTGACCGAGCGCCGCCACATGGTGCCCCAAATTGCGACCAGGTGAGGCGTAGCTGCACCTGCGGCTGTGGTTGCCAAATCATGTATTTCTTGCTTTTTTGAGAGAATTAAAACGCTGGTCAAGTTTGAAGGGCATGATGAAAAGTAACAAAGAAACACTAGATGTGTTTCGAGAAGAAAAAAAAACATCGCTGTTGGCTACTAATTAGATTACGCCGAATTATTGTTTTCATCATTTTTGATGCTACTCGTTATGATTTAATTTATTAACATTTTTAATAACATATTTTATTAGGAATAAACAGTAGATGCCACTTACCACTTTGTATGATTATAAGAAAATTATTCGTTATACGATAGCATTCATTGCACCATTCACACGGCTGGCGTCTGGCCAGCGTCAGGTCACTGTATAGGCCGCGGACCGGTCGGAGCCGGGCTGGGCGGGGCTGCCGTGCTTGACGTGGCCGTGCCGTGCCGGCCGTGGCCGCCGTGCTGACGGGCGCGCGCGGCTCGTCGTCGGACCGTCCGGCCGCGGTCAGCACATTAGTCCGTAATGAGAGCAGGTCACGGGCGCCGGCCAACACCCACGGTGGCAGCTGTACGCTACCGCGGGACACGTGACGTCAGCGCATCGCTGCCGGGTTTATTCTAACCCGTTCTGGCTCCGCTGTGAACTGATCCTATTTCCCCGTCTCCATCACCCATCCTCCTCCCTGTCTCCTGGTTCTGTTTTCGGTCTCCGCCCCTCCCTGTCCCCTATTCCTAATTTCCTGTCCCGATCCATCCTGCTCCCTATCTCTCGGTCCTATTCCCGCCCCACCCCTCCCCCGCCCTGGTCCTCCTGCCGCCCCTCCCCCTCCCTGTCTCAGGGTCCTGTTCCCATCACCCTCCCGTCGTCGTCCGCATGTTGATGATTGTGCAGCTCCGCTCAATAGCCGTGCTGCTCGTTGCGTGCCACTTCCATTGCAATCGTCAATGCTGTCCGACCGTGCTCATATGACGATGTCACGTTCCACTTCCCTCACCAAAACACTGCACGACTCGTCGGCGCAGTGACGAGTCGACTCACATATCATTTGCAGCATGCCTTAGGCCCTTATGTATGTGAACAGAGTTAAAGATTGAATACATTGATGTTTTATAGCATACAAGTTTGAACAATTCTGCAAGAAGCTGTTCGAAGTTTGAAATGTTTTGCTTTAAAATAGCAAAATGTAACACAATAAAAACAGGCCCTTGTATTGAGTGCATCTGTTCAATTTGAATAGAAAATTTTATCTAGGACGGACAGATTGACAGAGCATGCACCCCGCTATCATGAATCAAAGCAGAGCCTGTTGTGCAATCTGACCTCTGTCGTCCTGTTGTGAAATTCGCGGAGTGGAGAGGAGTTACCAGCAACAGAATGGATTCAATGTGCCTACGTGTCCGGATACGATCCGTCCCACTCCCAGTTCCACCAGGCTGCCGCTGTGCCCACCATCCGCAGACGAGCCTTTGTATCCGTGTATTGAACTCTAGGACCGGCGCTCCACCTTCGGGAGTTCTACGATCTTATCAACTGAAATATTAACTAGGGTCGCTGGTCATGACAAACACGATCAGGAACAAAAACTTCCAGGAACAAATTATGTGGTTTTTAAATGCCCTCATCTTTAGAAGCCTGTTTGAGGAAAAACTTTTCAGAACTTTGGTGCCTTCTGTGAGACTTTGCATTCCTTTGTACTCTCTAGACTTGTGCCTTTGCATTTTGATGCCATCGGGATTGGTCGTTTTTTTAGATATGGAGTATGGTGGTATTTCAGCTGCTAGTCTAAGGCGGGCAGCAGAATTTATGTTCGTTACCCCACCTCTGTTTCGGGTGTATGTTCGACGCAGGAGACCTTAATTCGACAGCATCTGTTGTAATCGGGAACTAGTGCTCCCTGCACTGGGCTTATAGTTCTGTTTGTTTTGTACTCTGCTTTGTTTTTCGGTCGGCGTAGAGTTCAATTCTGCTTGGTAACGTAGACGGCCGTTTTAGCTCGCAGCTGAAACGGAAGATACGACCACTGAGAGAAAAACCATCACTGCTCTGGAGGCTGTAATGAGGCCACTTACAGCTTTACAGGAAAAGCCTGAGGACTTTCCTGTATTGAGGTGCAAGTTTTGTGATTTGCTGTCACACATGCTAGAGCCAAGGCCTAGCCAATGTTGCCGCAGCAATTCGCAACACTTGTATTGTTCGCTTCAGCTGGAGATTGAAGACGTTTGACTTGAAAACTTATTCAAACTTATTCTTATTCAAGGTCTGAATATTCATTCAACTTATATTATATATTCAACTTATATTATTCAAGTGTGTCGGCTGTATTCTCTTTCCTACACTTATACCATGCTCAAGTATTGGCTCACTCACTTTGAGTGAGTGAGTGTTTCGAATATCAAGTCCTATAAAAAATGACTGCAGACTTTCAATTGATTCAGGTTATCAACAGCCACCTATTGTATTTCGCTTTCGCCTGCTAAGGCAAACCTTGCTTGTTTTCAGTCTGCAATAGACCCTATTCGTTTTTTTTCTTCTCTCCATTTCACACACAGTACAAACGGCTGCAATTCTCTTTTACCAAAACCTATCGTCGGGCCTTTAACCCTCGCCCGTATTGGTGTTTTTCCAGCCGCGAACGTATAAGGGGGGGGGGGGGTCCGTTGGACCCCCCTTGCGGTTTCGCCCCTGATCGAGCTAGAGCTTCGCGGAAAAAAACGAGCCTGTTGCCTGTGACGAGAGGAAGCCGATGATACCCAATTTTAAGGTCCTAGGTCATTGGTTGACCTTCCAGGTCAGGTCAATGACCCAAAAGTCGGGCAAAGCGGGATCTGTTAGAAAGTCGTAAAGCGTGACTGCTAAGAGGTTTTTCGGGCTGCTGATCACGAATATCATGTTAGTTTTGATCACAGATGATGTCTTCATGCATTTAGGCCAGGTCGGGTCAGGTCAGGTCAGGTCAACCAGTAAGGGTATTCGTAGTAGGTGGCAACCGCATCTGACAGCTTCGTAACATGTTACGAAGGTGCCAAAACTACTTAGTAAATGTCCATATGGTTGCTAAATTCGAATTCAGCTCCAAAAACTGGCCTAGAAACATGTAAAAATCGAAAAAGTGAACCGAGGTCATCAAAGATCATTGACCTGACCTGACCTTTCGGTGACCTTGACACCCACCCTAATGCATGGGAGCAACATCATATCCCATGTTTGAACGCTTAAAACCACGAAAAGACTGCAAACGCGCGGCTAATGCGAGCCGACATACGCCGAATCGCGATTCCGGCCAAACATGGTCTCGAAAAGTAGGTCACAGGTCAAAGGTCATTAGGGTCAGGGTCATGAAAATTTTAGGTTAGGTGTAAAATTGATTAACGCGAGGGGGCGAGGGTTCTGAAAGTTTCGTCGCGCTCGGCCGCTTTTTACGCGAGTTATTCGCGAAAAACCGGGGGGGGGTCCGTTCGACCCCCCCCCCCTTATAGGGCGAGGGTTAAGTTGTGTGTATATACTAGGCCAACTGATCTCGATACGATCGATCCGATCACTGGAAATTCAATCTGGCTCGTCAACGCTGTCCAACGATAAACCTGTGTATGTACATGAGTCGCAGACGCAATCACGAATGCACGCATGCAGGTTAATGCCCTGCGTCGTCAGCTCTGCTTGTTAGTTCCTCCTGGAAAAGGTCAGGTGACAGCCACACCGGCTATTGGAGTTCCGCCCAAATGTTGCGCCATTGTTCTGTGCTGTTTTGACTAAGCTTTATTCATGATTTGGTAATTGCTAGGCTAGTCAGTTCATTCGAAAATGTTGCTTGTAATGTGCGTATACACTAGGTTGTCGAAGTAGATGCCAATGCATGCGTACTTTCAAGGATGTCACGCACTTAACTTTTACTGTCAACAATTAATAAAAGAAAAAACATAAAGACGAAACAGGTAAATCCCAAAAGCATGAAACACAAGCCTAATTGTTTGCGTTTCTCGGAAAAGGTACATAATACATGCGCCTTCCTCAGAAATTCATTACACTCTGTTTGCTCTCACTGCTGCGTCCTTTATGACAAGTTCATTGTTTGAACGGTCGGTGAATGCCCGGTTTGTTTTTCCGCAGGCGACTCGACGGTACTGAAGGAATCCGGCGACGTGCTCCCCATGGCTGAGCTCCGAGTGGGGGACCGAGTCCTGGCAGGTGGGTGGATCGCCGCGACTCGCCGCGCCGCGCCCGGACATTATGTCCAACACAGCCTTTCAGCAGATTGGCCAGCCAATGCCCACGCTAAGTAATAGTCGGCGGTCACGCGGTTGGGCGCGCTTGATCGTTAATAGTGCTGGATGTAAGAATCTGATCCCAACCTCCAACAAATAGCGTCCACTGGTTCTATCAAAACATAAGGACAATTGCTGCAGCTATAGATATCTGGTGTACAGAGGTTTATGATGCCGCATTTGAACTTCCATCGACAACTTATAAGACATAAAGATTGATAACCTTTGTCTCTTTGAACATTTTTAACCATGGTGACTGGTGAGTTATGGTTATAAAGCGTTTTACCTTCTGTTTTAACGTGTGCCTTTCTGTCGTGGACACGAGCTATGCTCATCAAATTGATGAGCAAATTTAACCAACTTGCAAGTTGCAACACAACTCAGTGACTAACCTTTATGACCTCATTACCATAGGACCCAGTGACCTCAGGAACTTAATTGTCCCTCAGTGACTTCTGTGACCTGACCTGGCAGCAACTGGATGACCCCTATAACCCCAGTGACCCATGTGACCTGACCTGACAGTGACTCTATGACCCCTATAACCCTCGTTGACCGCTGCGACCTGTCCTTCCAGCGAGTCGGGCCGGCGATCTCACCTTCAGCCCTGTGGTGAGCTGGCTGGACAAACGGTCCAACGAGTCGGGTCAGTACCTGCAGCTGTCTACCAGCACGGGCCACCGAATCACGCTGTCCTCACAGCACGTCATACTCGTCAGACAGAAGGACCAGCTCGTCTCTCAGTGAGTGGAACTGCATGTCGGGGGCTGTGGGGTGGAGTTGGATGGATGTTTGTAAACGGCGAGGTGAAGGGGAGCTTGGAGTGAGTGGTAGGGAATAAACTTAAGAGCTTTGGCACGACAATGACCGAGGTTCGATGTTCAGGCTGCAGATTTTAAGAAGCTGTCGTAATTCATGGCACTTCATTTGCATAATAATGCCGTCAGTCCATGCTGCTCTGCATATGACATTTTGCTGGTTAAAGCCGTGTGGTAGGACAACTTGAAATCGGCTCCGCCTGCTCAGGAACTTGGGGATTACGATTTGCTGCATGCGGAAAGGGCCAGACAGCATGCGAGAATGGTCAGACTCGCGCGGTGCGCAGTCGCCTGTTCCGCACGACAGCCAAGTGCTGCGGCACAGTCTACCTTGCTGAGAGAGACGCCACTGTTCTTCAATTCTGCAGGGCCTGAAGCACGGCCAATGGCCATCAAAACGGCGGCTAGGTATTATAATTATTTTTCTTGATATCGTTATAGGCAAGCATACCGAAATGCATGCTCCCCCGTAAGACACCCATATCAAGCTGTTTTTCGTCATTAATCAGTCCTTCTTTGCGCTAATGGCCGACGACATAATGACGTAGCACATGCACATAAAGTAATAATACACTCCTATTTAACCTCTTATCAGTAAAATATCTGCACTGCAAATCCCACTCACATTTATCGCCAAAAAACTTGTAGACCGGTTGAGCCTCTTTTCTCAGAAACTCCTCAACCGCATCACGTTCTCGACATAAAATTTCACATGACCGCCACCTCCATACGAAGTCACGTCTCTGTACCACTCGCGACTCCGCACCGTGGGAGCGACTCCACGGCGCCCCCTGTGACCTTCCATCCGCCATTCAGTCCCGCGGCCCACCACCTGTAGATGGGCACGCGTAACTCGGTCGGCTCGGTAGCCGCCGAACGCCGCAAAACGGCCCTCGGGGGCGACATTGGCCGGCGGGAGAGCGGGCCGGGCCCGTCCGGACCCGACTTACCGCGCGGCAGATGGGCGCCGCTATGAGATCGAGTTGGAGGCGGGCGATGAGACGGCACTAGCGGCGGGGTAGAGCGGCAGGGAGGAACTGAGTGGGATGACACGGATAGTGGGCGACGCTGGTGGCAGCTGCGGCTGCGGAGCGGAGGATTTGCACGCTGAGTGGGGATTGTGGAGGCGGCGGCAGCACTCCGGTTCTGCGTAGGATGCGAATGGTGTGGGTGGGGTTTCATGGACGGATGTGGGGGAAAGGGGGAGGGATGAGCCCGCTCCTTGGTCTGAACGACGGCGGCAAGGCACGGCAGTGAGGCACGACATTTAGGCACGGCGGTGAGGCACATCAGTGAGACACAGCGGTGTGACATAGCAGTGAGGCACAGCAGTGAGGCACAGTGTTGAGGCACACTATTGAAACACAGCAGTGAGGAACGGCAGTGAGGCACAGCGGTGAGGAATCGGGCGGTGGGGCACGGCGGCGAGGCACGGCGCGGTGGTGAGGCACGGAGTTGAGCCGGCTCAGGTGCGAGCGGCCGGGTCTGGCTCGGCGCACCCCAGCCGCCGCCGGCCGGGTCGATAGCCCGTCTTTTGTTCTAGCTCTGGCGGCCGGCCGGCGCACAATGCCGCCCCTCTGCTGAGCAGTAATTGCTGGTTTGTTGTGCCGGTCGCCGGGTTGTTAGTTGGTGAAGCGAGGCTCAAACGCATGATCCTCGGATGATAAGCTGCGCACAGTGGATCAGATTGCCGATATTCCTTATCATCGTAGGACGGCTCCTAGAAGTGGACACTGCAAATGGATGCTAAAAAAGTGCGTATGATGCTCATCCTTTGTTACAATAACGTTATGCCAATGCAGGTATGGCTAGTTAAGCATGGAATCTGATCCCTCACATCCTGATATTCATCTGAGCAGCAGTGGCAATGCACAAGTACGCGAACAGTATATAACTAATTATTTGGCTGAATTTCACCGCCATCTGAGCCTACCATACGGATTCTCAATGTCTGTTATGTAGTGTCTGATTTGCGAGGACTATGCTGGAACCATCGAATAGTGTGGTCGTGCGACAAAGGAGTATAGATCCAGCCTTACAAGTCCGGTTTGGGGTAACACAACTCTTAAATGTCCTCGTGCGTTTACCGCTTGACCAGCTTCATTGCTCTGTCCTCAGGTTCGCTGCGGACGTTCAGACCGGTGACCTGGTGAAGGTGGCCGACTCGGTCAACTCGGACAACTGGGCGCCGATCGTCTCCGTTCAGCCCACAATCTCCACAGGTGAGTGAATGCGGTCTACTCTCCACCGGTGAGTAGAGACGGTCTTAGTTATTGTTTACCGGTGAGTGGAGACTCAATCCAGCCCACCATCTCTGTAGGTGAGTAGAGACTCCATCCAAAAGACCATTTCCACCGGTGAGAATAGCCTGTCTTGCTTTTAACGACTACGCCGGTTAGAAGGGACTGTGATTTTTGCGTTGCCGATTTTCAATCCAAAGGTAACAACTGAAAGTTATTTGATCCGTGCGCGAGACAGTCGGCGAAACATTCTTTGTGAATATTCGTGATTAAGACTTCAACATTTTTCTCAACTTTCATGTAAACAACAATTAGCACCACCAACCGTACACAAAAACTTTCATGATACATAGGTATCATCAAGCACCTGGCACAGACGATTCCAACTATGAAAATACTGTGAAAATACCGCCGTGGCAAGCGACGGAAATTACGCTCTTTGAGAATGCTGTTTATTGAAAAATTGTCGCATTTCTGCTTGCACTTCAATTTCAACTCATTCAAAATGTCAAAGCTCAGTTGAACTTGTCAGTTTGAAGCTGAAAGCACATATGTGGCAAGCTGATTTAAAAATCAAACAAAAATACATTAGTGAGTAATTGCGTGAGTTTCTCCCTGCGTGAATTGATCGCGCGAACAAGAAAACAATTAGAAAAGTAGGTAATTGGCAGAGTTTGACGGCACCTTTAGGTCCTATATGAAAGCCTAGGGCTTGCATTTCTATGGATATTTAGCAGTCATCTCAGGAAGCCACGTATCTCCTGTGTCTCTCGTTTCAACCCCACGGCTTCCTTCGGATTTCAGTAATATTGAAGCAGCGAATTTCAGGCGCATATGGTAGCCGAAACCCAATCAAACAGCTACCCACATGGTAATGCATCGCCCACAGTGGTGGCCGCTGACAAGAGTGGCTAGGCGTCTCACAATTGAACCCATATGGCCGACTCCAGCCCAGTGGTGGGATGATACAATTTCAGAAAGCAATACATCTCTTCAAATTACGCTCGAGAAAATTGCGACGGCGCCTTTGCCACCATACGGCCAACCATGTGACTCCTGGCTCGAGGGCCCGTTTGGTTAGTTTGAGGTTAACAGAAAGCTGTTAACGGCACAGCTCAGTTACCTGGCCCCGCAGCCAGGGCACAGGTAGTTGCGAGTTTGGCTGCGAGCCCCGGCCGTGTCGTCGGCACTCGGCACGTGGCTTAGTGGCGCAATGGCTCTGGATTCCGGCGAACGTTTCCATAGGCGCGCGCGGCGAAATATTATAGCCGCGCTGGGACCATGTGTTCCCATAATCAGAGCGGACCAGGCCGGAGGCGGGCTGCATTTGTTCTGCCGGCTGCACCGGGCGAGCAGCGTCGATGAAAAGCTAGGCTAGCTAGCTATCCTGAGCCCGTGCAGTGTGATCGCATGTAAAGCGCACCTAAATGGAGATATTTGATCCGGGCTGCGAAATGAGTTCCGAGTGAGTGATGGTCACGGTATTGTGGAGGTATTGAACTCCACGTGATTGTGATTGATAGAGCGATAGTCTAGGCATTACAAACACTGCCGGTGAGCTAAAGTATTTTTGTCTTGGCCTTCAAGCTCGCAGTCCGTGAACGGACCAAGCGTGGCAACATCTCCATGGGGAATGGGGATGCCATTTTGTCTGTTTATTATCGACAAACATTTGGTTTCATTATTTTTGTCTATATTTTGCATTGCGGAAAGCCGTACTTTCTTATGCAAGGTTTGCTACACCGACTTTTAAACCATCACCAACACCGTTCTTATCGTTCGGTTACAAACCTTACTGACACTCATTCGCGGGACGTTGTATGCGAGGCCACTGTCAACAAACCGTCCATCAATGTCCTTCTGTTAGCGCTGAATTTGATCACCGTCCGCACTACTCACGAACCGCCGGCGCCGCGTCCTTTCATAGTGTGTCGATCAGACATCCAATTATGTGCAGCTCCCGCGATGGCTCGTCTTTGTTTGCTGCCGTAACAAAGTTCCGCCGCCTGCGCTCAGTTTGAGGACTAGTTAAAGGTGTGAGTCAAACACCATTTTCGATAGACCATTGATGGGTCTGTTGACTGAAGTTCCTTGCATTCTAGGCTGCTATGGTAGGTCTTCTCGACAGGTCTTCATGACCTGACAGGCGGTTGTAACTTCGTCGCTTCACCGCTCTAAGTTTTCTCGTCAAAACTGAATAGCCGTAAATCACCTTGTCATTTTCCTTCAGTTAACGATCCCCATGATGCGGCCTCTTTGACGGGAGTCTAGCAGCCAACTTCTCGGGCTTATTCTCAAAGACATTTTAGTGGCGGCCTTTCTGCAGAATGGCGTCACAAAGCCTGGATGGCGCTGTCGTCACGCCCCGGCCGTCTGGCGAGCCATCTTCGCTCATGACCGTCGCCCCAGCCTGCCATTCCAATGCATAGGTCTGGCTCGGCCCGCCGGTAGCCGGCTCCGTCAGTGGAAAACTATTTTCAGAGCCGGCTGACACGCCCATTCTGTACTCAACAGATGAGTTCCAGGGCTGTCTGAGTGAGCCACTCCGAGGTCACAACACATTAGGAGTCCAGACGACTTCCAAATGGCCCATAGTTGTCGTAATTATCTCACAGAATCCTAATGAGTCTTGGGCTCAGGAGGCTGAGTGATGAATTGAAAGTAGGCAAAACGCCTTAGATGTAAGCCGTAGCTTTTCGACCGTGACATTTAAGCGGTCGACAATGATGATATTGGCCGTGATCATGGGATTAACCCGGCTAGTGCTGGATACTTATAAAATTGGATGCATATAGAGCACCTCTTGTTGTCTCGGATTGTCCAGCCACCTTCGCCTGGCAAGTACGAGGCCTCTGTCGGTCCGACGGTCCCTCTGTCGGTCCGACACCCCCCCCCCCCCGTCGCGTCGGCCCGACGAGCGCTGTCGGGGCCGCCGCGTCGATCGTCTGGTCTCCTCCGGTAATGGTCACCGCTGACCACCCACGTGATGCGAATGGCAACGCCGGCGACGCAGCGCGACTGTCGCGGAAAAACGGTCAGCTCGGCCGGCTGACACGATGAGGACTGAAAACTGTCGGCCGAGCGTGGAAAGGCTGTCTTGAATATGGGAGCTGCGTTAAATGTTTGAAAAGAGACTGCGCTCTTCTAACTTTGTGGTTACAGCTACTGAATTGAATTGCAAATTATTTCGTAAATATGAAACCGGGATAGGAAGTGTTTTACTTTTAGTTTCAGTGTTTTCGGCGTGAAATTAATCAAGCTCTCAAAGGAAGCAGCGTATTAAATTTCCGCCTGCTTCTCGCTGCCCATTTTGACACTGCCTTAGCGCGGCACTCTTTCGAGCCACTCTGTGTCACCTGATACTCGGCACACACAGCTGCGAAAATGGAGAACGACTACGCGAGAAAGTATTACGGAGACCACCCTTCCCGCCTCTCGCGCGACGCCCGGGTCGCCTACGGCTAAACGCGTTATCCCGCGCCGGGCCCGGGGGACCGCGCCCGGGCCACGCTCGGACCACGCCGCGGGGACAGTAATTTGGGTCTGTGCGGGTCCCCCGGGGCGATGTCAGCAATGTCTGGCGACCCACCGGGCACGCGCAGCTGAGTGAGGTCAGCACAAGTCGGGTCAGAGAGAAAGGGATTGGAAGAGAAAATGATTAAAGACTTGTAGTGGAATGGCTATGTATGTATGTAGTTGACGACAGCGTTATAATCTCTATAATGAGATATTTTATGTATGTTTTAAGTCTCTTTTTAAGTGGTGGGCCAAAATTTGATACTTTTTATCTGTAAGTATGCTGGACTGTGCTATAGCATTGCAACAAGCTGTGGGCACCCGCTATCGAAACATGTAGCCCCGCTCAAAGCGAACTCAAAGCAGCGAGCTCAAAGCAGCTCTTGGGACGGAGCGGAGCAGTGCGTTAATCCATTCAGTAGAGCCAGGTGACTCCGTCCACAGATTTGTGAAAGGCTAGCTGCAGCGAATCATTAGCAAACACTAAATTTAGGCGTATCGGTGCGGCTCAGTCGTGCCGGCACTTTGTCAATTAAAACGTTCCCAGGCAGCCCCTTTACGACAACAGTCACGCTAAGGAATCGTTAGCCACGTTCTTAGTGAATGGAGGATCGCCTTGAATGGAATGGAGTGTGTCAGAACGAGGTTAAAGTGTGTATGCGTGACTCGCTCGTTTGGCTTTCCGATTCAGAGATAAGATTTGGAAGATGTCGCCGCACATGGGGAAAGTGGAAGAGGCCAGCTTTCAATTACAATGCAGTGCTGTGTATGGGCGCGCCGGTCGCTGTGTAATTTGTGCATTTGTGGTAAGCGAAGTCGTGCCATTATGTAAACCAGCGTGGCAAATTTGGCTAATGTGCACACCAATCGCCTTATCATCCTATCCTTTTAAGCAACGTAGGTACTTACCATGAACTAAAAGAGACGTCATAAATGCAGGCTAGTATTGCTTAGGTATAGTTTTGTTTATAGTATGTCGAAACAATCGTATGGCACATGATTTGTCTTTTTTGCGTCATAACGTCCACTTCTCGGCGTCCGCCTTTCCGAGTGCCGTTCCACAAACTGCTATTCTTATACCATGGTCAAACGATCCCTGTCCTCACGTCAGTTCAGAGCGTTGGACAGTTCAATACCGAGTCTCATCTGGAGGACGGATGGGCGCGATGGCCGCACTGACACGGCCATGTATCACCTCGGGGGCCGTCGGGGACCGGCCGTCCATCCGGCGCTGCCGTCAGTCGGCAGCCAACGTAAATCGGTCCCGGGCCACGTCCGCGTATTCCCGGGTCAAAGGTCAAACTGCCGCCCGTCTGTATCAATGTCCAACCATCGCCCCTTCAGGCGTCTCAGTTCGACGAAGGGGCTCCCCACAGGACAGGGCAGCGGTTCGACCATCGCGGTTCGGCGAGAGCGACCGATCGCCGATCGTAGATCGCTGAGATTGCGTGCGATTGGTTCCTGCGTTGCTGAGCGTATGTAAGTGTCGTTCAATATGTAAAAATGATTTTAGGAAGCTAAAGACATGTTCATCTTGGGGGGTTTGGAGATGCCAGAATTATCGAATTGTGTTATTACTACAGAAGTAGGTATAATCATGTTATACCTGATTGTTCAGATATCGTTCATCCTTCGTTAGCCGCCTCGTAATAGCGACCCAGAAATAACACAGCCAGACTCATGGACTGTTTGACCGCGTTCTTAAGTCTAATCAACAATTGGTTTTATTACCCTAGTTGTATGGTGGCATCGCTTCCAGCTCAGAGCAGCCGCGGGACTCACGCCGACTCCGTGTACTCCTACTCCGCTCACTAGATGGCACTAGTGGTGAAGGCCTGCAGTGGTATGCTGTACCGCAATACTGTCCCATGCGCGAACGGCCGCGGGACGAGTGTTTCGCTGCATGGCACGGTGAACGGGCAAGCCTATCGCTGTTGTAAAGAACTTGTGTATCAATTCCACCGTATACATACTCATAGCGATGTTACACTTTGAAACAACTCGCCGAAAGCTCTACAGATCTCGGGCTAAATGTACGCAGATAAATGCCGCCATCCCCGCGTCGCCCCCTGACGCCTGACGTCTATCTTACCTCCACATCTCCCTGCTTCCTCAGGAGCGTACGTGCCGCTAACAGCCGAGGGTACTATCGTGGTGGACGGCGTGCTGGCCTCGTGTTACGCCTCGTTCGACCACGACTGGGCCCACGCGTTCACGGCTCCGCTGCGCTGGATGCCCGAACTGTTCGAGAGTCACGCCACTCGTGACAACGACGGGCCACGACGTGAGTAGGAGAGTGGAAGGAGAAGAGGGGAAGGGAGTAAATGAGAGGAGAGGAGATAAAAGGGGAGGAAGGGATGGACTGGTCCGGAGATTGAATGGTTGGGATGGTTAGTGTTTGGTGATTTGAGATGTTGAGATGAGGGTCTTTTGTAGTTTGCGCGATTTTGGCCATGACTTAGTATCCTTGAAATAGTTTATTTCTGAACATAGATAGTGCTTGTCAGGCCACACGGAAACCCCTGTGTAAGCTTTTAGGCGTTAAAAACTCCTCTCTGTCTTAGTGAGTTTCTTAATTCTTTTGTCTCAGCCTCCCTGGGCATTGTCTTTCAGAAAATGCGCAAGGGTTCTTTACGTATGCCATGGTGCCACCCCACTCACTGACACCCCACGGTCGCCGGCCAGTCGGCGCCGTATTTGACCCCCCCCCCCCCTTTCCCCTGCAGCTGTGGTGGAGACCCTGAAGAGTTTCGGCCGGTGGCTGTTCCCTGAGTCAGAGTCTGGTCATCGTGCCGCCGAGGACGACTCGGTCGTCAAACTGCCGCTCCTCGCCGCCCCCGCCCCCGCCCACGCCCACGCGAGCTCGCCCTAGACGGGCCGGACCCGCCGCCGTCGCCGCCGCTCCGGTGACGCCACGGTGACGTCATACTGTCCCGCCGACACCAGGCCGCTCTGTTGATGTTGTGTTCTTTCTGTAGCGGAACACTGACGCCACCAAAGTGATCGCGCTGCTGCGTGGTGGGCACTCATGTATTGATCTTAGTTGTACTGATAACTACTTATCGGAAACAAGCGGAACGCCGTGCTCTTTGCAGCAAACCAAATAGCATGTCCAAAGCATGTTACCAAAGAGTATGTCCAACGGTGAATGAACTTACAGACCGAAAATGACAGGAGCACAGTACCGTTATGCCCTTGGCGGCTCTATTTGTGCTTGTGAAAGCGCACAGTAAAAGCGTAGCATCACTTCCCTTGAGAAACGCCAGAAAAAAAGTTACTGATTACCCTTCTCAGACCTTTCCCGGGCAACATTCAGAGCCCCTGCGCTGTGGAGTGTGTCTATCCCTCTTCTCTAATACGGTTTCCGGGTGGGGTGAGACAATCCCCCCGGGCTCCCCCCCCCCCCCTGTATCAGGAGACAGTCCCACTCCCAATTCCGGTCACTGATCACCCGAAGGAGGCAATGACGTTTGGATGGTCTGGAACGAGTTCCGATTGTCCCGATCAGCTCGTTGGCTCATCAGCGTCGCAAATTGGATTAATGGCGACCCACGCCTTGTGCAATCGGAAGAGGAATTCCTCGCCAATGATCTCTCAGCAGTGATAGTTTTTTTCTAGGATGATTTTTATTAGTAAAGCCCTTGTTACAACCTGTGTCCATCAGTTGTGCGCTTTTATCTTCGTATTTTATTTGTGTTCGTTCTGCTTGCTTGTCTCTTCATGAACACTGGGAGCAACAGCATTCAATGCTTGTTTTTTTATGGGACGGATCAAACTTCAACAAACTAAAAGGGTACAACCTACGGAAAAGGAGACGGCGCACCGTAAACTGCAGATCAAGAATGCGTGCGAAGCGAAATGCGCTCAACGGTTCCCTACTACGAACGTTTTCTGAAGGTAGTGTGGACTGGACATATGATGTCGTGAGCAGCTTTCAAGGCTGCTGGATGAGCTTGTCATACTACGGGATAATCACACATATCACTGGGCTGTCCCCGGACAGCGCGCTGTCTTTGCTATGTCTCTCTGTGTATTGTGCTATACGCTGTTGAAGCGTTTATGATTGTGCAGGCGGTACAGTAACGATCTTCCTCCCGTAGGTAGTTTTAGATCGCTGAAAGTGAACACTTGTTCATTCCACCTCCGAAAACATCATCCAATGCTACTATGTATAGTCTTGTAATGCTTTCTACAGAGGGAAGATTGTCACTGTACCGTCTTAATCTTGTGAGTCGACGAACGAAACATATCCCCAACATATCACGTGCGACAGGCGGAGTGCTCTCCCCGTCTCAGCAGACATATCATGTCGTGTGAGGTCGTGCCCGTTTTGCACTGAGAGCGCGTCTGTTTGTCTGTCTGTCTGTCAGCGTGGGCCGCGAGTGGCTGGCGCGGCCCAGGGCGAGTTGCTTTGACGCCGACGTTTCGTGACGTGTCTGATCGTGGTAGGACGTGTCGTCGGGACGTGACAGGACGTTAGCAAACCGTCTCCGTGACGAGGGTTTGTGCCGGAGCTCTGTTGAAAATCGATAAAATGCCCTAAGTCCAACAACTTCCCTAACAGATGAGGCGAGATTGGTATCGTCAGGAAGCGGTGCGTAACAGCTGGACGTGACTGCCTGCTCTTATGCGTGGTTCACACCGGATCCGTAATGACGCCGTAACCGTTACGGACGTAATGAGCTAGAGATTTCTCAAGATTCCCCAAGCATTGTGACTTTTGTAGACGAAGTTGAAATGTGGCAACCAGCCGCCGTAAACTGGCAGCGTCCACCGTACTCGTTACGGAACGTAACAGAAGTTGGGAAAATTGAACTTTTCGGCTCGACCGGCCGCCGTAATGACTTTTATCGACATGTATCTCCAAAACGGTTTGACTGTTTGATGAGTGGTCTTCTTTGGGGAGGGGCTGCATCCTTTCTACCCTGAACTGTGCTATTGATAACACTCATGAGTGCCTGTTACAGCACGTGTCACGTGCGACGAGAGAGGTTCCAAAAGAGCTCGTCATACCATAACTCGGGAACGGCTGAATGGAAACGGTTCAATATTTGTTTGTTGTTTTGGCTGGGTGCACACTACACATCCTGTGACCTTAGGACGATTTCGAATTGCCTCAGCGCGTGCGCACGTGCGCACCCCTTTTTCATATCTCGGGATTGGCTGTGCCAATCGCGCCCATATTTGGTATGCTGAATGACATCATGTTTATATGCAAATTGCACAGGTTGACAAAAGCATTGATCTGCACGTGCGCACGTGCGTGCCCCTTTTTCATATCTGGGGATCGGCTGGGCCGATCGCGTTCATATTTGGTGTGCTGAATGACGCCATGTACATATGAAGATTGAACAGATCGGCAAAGGCATTGGTCTGCACGTGCGCGCGTGCGTACCCCTTTTTGACATCTTGGGATCGGCTGGGCCGATAGCGCTCATATTAAGTATGCTGAATGACACCAAGTTTATTTGCAGATTGCACAGGTCAGCAAAAGCATTGATCTGCACGTGCGCACGTGCGCACCCCTTTTTCATATCTGGGGATCGGCTGGGCCGAAAGTGCTTATATCAAGTATGCTGAATGATAACATGCGTATATGTAGAATTCACAAGTCGGCAAAGGTATTGATCGGCACGTGCGCACGTGCGCACTTCTTTTTCATATCTCGGGATCGGCTGGGCCGATAGCGCTCACATTTGGACTTTGGTATGCTGAATGACACCACGCATATAAAGTATGCAGATTGCAAAGGTCAGCGAGAGTATTGGTCGGCACATGCGCACGTGCCCACCCCTTCTCACATGTTGCGATTGATTGGGCTGGTCTGGGTAGCGGGTAGCGGTCTGCTCGTGTGCAACTTGCAAGTGCGGACCTTTCTACTTGAAAAAAAATCGTATCAACTCACCGACTGATTTTTAGGCATTATTTCATGTAGGTATGCCTTCAGTATGTCACAACCTTCTTTGTATCTCTTGAGTGACGTACATAAAATTCAAGTTCCGTAATTACATTTCACTCGTTTATTTAAAGATAACATTTCCTTCGTAGGCCTAGCCTAGCCCTAATCATGTAGGTATGTTACAGGTCAAGTTCAAAGTCCACAAAATAAATTCTAATACATAGATTCTCGTGCCACGTCTTTTATGCAGTTCTGAGTCAACTTCGCTGCCCATATTACCCCTGCTAGACTTGATGCTTGGACGGACACTGCACCGCCTCTTCGCAAGCCAATTGAGCAAACTGTACGATGCGTACAGTGGATCTAGTAAGGATCTCCAGACGTTACTAGATGGCGTTGAGCCTCAGTCGAGTCCATGTCAAATTCAAGGGGAGGTCAGTACCGAGCTGGGTCCGATGGGGAGGAGGGCGGGGGGGGGAGCGGTTCGCGAGGTCACGGTGCGGGTGACCTGTCAAACAGCCCCGGCGCAGCTGGGCGCTGCCGCAGGCAATTGACACACTCCAGTGTTGTTCCATATCGAGGTGGTGGGCCGGCCGGCCGGTTAGCTTGGCTGCTTGGAAGGAAAGGATAATGAGGCATGTGTTTGCTGTGGCCGGCTCATCTACTGGCAACTATGATGAACCCAAAGTAATGCAAATATGATGTTGGTAATGCAGCTGGCAATGGTATGCTAGCGAATACTCCGAGCGCCCGGTAGCTAAGGATTAACATTATTTAGGTATGTCTCCTGAAATTTTCATTGAATATAATTCAAGCACTAGAAATATCGTACCGTTCGCCAGTTTTTTGACCGGCTGGCGTTTCTTGCGTAGAGCGCCCTTGGGCAAATACTTATCACGCAGGTGATTTATTTTTTGCTGGTAAGATTGAAGGACAAATCAAGTCGCTGAGAGAAGATGAGGAAAAGCGGACGAATGCCATATTTTTGTGCATGAAGTCCCGATTAAAAAAAGCTTAAAGTTATTATACGTGTAAGCTAAAAAAACTAAGATCAGTTATCAAAAATATTTGACCCGAAATTGGCCTCTGTTTTCTCTGACCATGATTGCGTGTAAGACACAGGTCCAACCGGGTTCAACCCGACCCAACATGGTTTGGCTCCCCCTTTTTTAATATAAATTTGGCCCGAACCTTTTGAATGAAAGGAATCACAAGGAAAGAGTCCCCGCTAAGCTGAGCTTGTTGCGCTGACCCTGCCCTCCACCCTCCGATCAAGCAAATCCTGGTCTATGGCAGAACTATGTAGTCCAAATTTTAACGTGCGCACGTAGCCTCGCACGGCCGGTCCCCTCACTGACTTCGCCTAGCAGTGGCCTGCCACCAACCACAACCATACCCGTCAGGAGCTCAAAAACGTCAAGCACACGTCGCGTTTCGAACCCGGACTTTTGCAACCGGGACGTGCGCTCTCACCACACGGAATCCAACGCCCTAACGACCGAGCTACCGGGACGGACATTTACCTAGGGGTTTCGCCTCGTGACATTGACAGACGTCAGACACTTTGGCCGAACTTTAGCCGTAGCACTGAGTAAGCTGCGCAGGCCGACAGGTGCTCGTAGCGTTGAGGTTGGGTAACCTGTGAGCTGAACGCGATGTCGTGAGTTCGAGCCCCACTTTCGGGTCTGGTTTTATCTGGACACGAACCAAAACCTTTCCTTCTACTGCAACACAGACAAGCACGATGATATCTTTCGCCAACATCTTTCCCCAATATCTTTTCAAAAAAAGTCAAAATTATCGCTTATAAATGTTTAGCTAAGTTTCATTTTTAAATTTTTTGGTCATTTTTTGGAGCCATTTCAACTCTTTCTTTTCGGATTCTTTTCGACCTGATAAAACCCACCAAAACTGAACGTGCCAAATGAAAAAATACCGAACTCAAATAACAGTTTAGAAAAGCCTAAGACATCATGCAACTATCGACTGAATAGTTGCATGCTATTAATACGTCCTAGATTTCAATTATCATTGTTCAAGATTTTGGCTGGAACTGGCGCTGCCTCTCGCTTGTCCGTTTGTTTGAGATAATGATTCCCTTCAGTCGCATTCTTGCTGGTTCCACATGAACAGGACACCACCATACCGAAGTGAACGCACCCACAACCATCATCCCCTGGCCCCTCCCCTCAGCCTCGGCGCAGTGGCGGGCGGCCCTGGGCGGCCCACTCCCGGCGCTACGCACGCACCATGCGCCGTGATACCGCGTCACTCCCCCTCCCTCCTTCCCCCACAATGACCGGTGACCTCACTTCCCTCGGGATTTGGACTCGCCCTACCCCGACCGTAGCGCCACGTGGTGGCTCTGGAGATCTTAAATAGACCCACTGTACGTTGATCTTGCCCATGGATAGCAGCGATTCACGAGTGTAGAAAATGAACTTCAGCGTTGACCAGCATAGGCATGTTTTCTTGTTTATGCCAAAAAGGATAAAAGATTCTCTGTATAGTACATGCCCACAATTGTAGTTAATTAACAATGATATGCCTAAATACAATTATAAACCACTATGCAAAAGTGATAGGAATAAATTTAAAAAGAGAGCAAAACCAATTAAAATTCTGACGCACCGATATTAAGAAACAGCTCTTAGCTTTAGCCCATTTTTTGGATTGTTTATAAGCAAAATAGTTTTGGCGCACTTGATTCGAAGGACGGCGCTCAACATGGCAATTCCCGGTGCACACCGAATCCGTAACGAATACGGCGTTACGTCGCCAAAAAATCGAACTACGCATGCGCGTTGCATTGTGCCCTCCACTTTCAAGATATTATTTAATCGCCGACGTATTCATTACGGCACGTAACGGTCATTACGGATCCGGTGTGAACCACGCATTACACCGCTCTCGGGTTCCCAGAATGCGAACTGTCGAACGCGCTGACGCCAGGCACGGGGTACATCTCTGAACGTCAATGTTGTGGGTGCTTTGGAAATAAACGTTTTGGCAGAGGCAACGCCTGGTTTCGATGAGTTGGAGACTGGAGTGGACTGGGAAATGAACTGCTGGGATCTTGCGATGGGGAGACCTCTTCGAAAACCTTTCTTTAGGACTAACGCCTCTGAAAACTCATGTCTGCCAACCGGCCCTTAACTGGCAAAGCCACTTCGAGTTCCAGTCCGCCCAAGCTCTGCAGGACGGGCTCCCGAACAACGATCTGTTAGAAGCGGATCTGTTAGAAGTACCTATACCCAATCGGACCCTGGGTTGCTATCGAGCCGGTTTCCACCTGAGCTCCACTCCGAGTACCTATCATGTGTGCAGGTCTTTACCGAACCTTTGCTAGCCCCGCAATGTTCTGATTCGGAAGGCAGCATCCTTGTCTGGGAAATCACGTTTCCATTTCTTCGCCAGACACGGGCACCGTCCACCATTTTATATTCACCACCGTCCCACGTCATCAAATCTGGTCACCGGCTTTCACGATAACCCTAAAAGCATTTTATCGTCTCTGCCATCGCATTTCATCTCCAACCTTTGTCCGCATCTCACCGCGGGGGCTCGTATCCGGGAGGTCGAGTGGCAAAGTTGCACACTTGGCGCGGGGCGCATGGGAACGCCGCCAGGCAAAGTGGTGCGGCGGCGGCCGATGGGGCGCAAACTTCTGGCCACTGGCGTCCCTCTCGACGGGCGTTTCGCGGCGCGGTCGGTGCGAAAATGCCGCAGCGTTCCCGGGTCACGGAGGTCAGCCGGTTGCTGTACAGCCGCTGACTTTATGGTCGTGTCAATCCTGTCTGCCCACGCATCTGTTGCTGCTCTCGCTGTCGTTACCGGAAACAGCCAGAGGATTGCCTTACACGAATTCTGAAAAGTGATTATAAGCCAGTAAGCTAAAAAGAAACGGAAGTACCGGATGATTCGTGATAAGAACGACTAGCTGAGCTCCCACTTCATTAGGTAGAGCTTATAACTTATTACAGGACAAATAACTGTTGCGTCGTCGATCTTATTACTACTTTTCATCTGATCCATCTGATCATTACGTCGCATTTTTGTGTCATTCAACTTATGACTCAAATACATATTATTCGAACCGGACGATTCCTTTGTCGATAGTTGGAGCTTAGCCGAAGACTGGAAGAACAATGCTGGAATTATCCAGAGGCTTAGCATACGCAAGAAGCGTAACGAATTAGGCCTATGTACTGAGCCGAAAGGTAACTAAGCTAGCTAGCGAGTGCAAGCAACCGCCTGAGCTTAGTAGAGAACTTAGCTCGATAGGCTATGACGTTCTCAGCACGCGAATAAATATGTCGCCTAAGTCAGGCGAAGTCGCGCCTAAAGGACCCGCTTTACCGTGACTACTATAATAGATCCTAGCTTACATTGGTTTGGCTGAAGAGGTTCTGTTTAGACTGTTTAGACGGCGTGTGTTCGGCACGGTCGTGCAAAGGTGCAAAGGTCCAGTTCAATAGACCCGCCAATGTCAGAAAAGATCGATTGGTCGGGTTCGGTCAGATCCGGTTCGGTAGGCCTTTTAGGACACGGCCGGGTTCGTGTGAGCCGTGCTGAATAAGTTGGCGTCCGGCTGCCCTTTGTTTTCTTAGTACCCGATACAAGAAGAAGCAATGCGTCTAACTCGGCCTCTAAGTAGTCCTATGACCAACCCACTCTGTCCTATGGCGATAACTTCATCACAAATCCATTAAAATTTGCATAAACATATCAAAGCCTTTTGTGTGTACGGAAGCATGGGAACAGATTGGAGTAGGACACATCCCGTGCTATCCCAAAAAGTTCGATGCACAGGACTCTGCTACCTGCTGAAAAGCTCACCTGCCCCCCCCCCCCCCACATCTCCAAACAGCACGGACATGAACATCATATGTATTGGGTAGCCCCTACCATAGTACCACAGTAGCCAGTGCCAAGTTACAGTTCGGTATGATACATAAACATGACACATCACAATACACACTCGGCACCTCCCAGCGAACAGCAACAATTCACATTGGACTAGTTAATACTCTAGCGCGATAAGATCTTGTGACCGGCAGAGGCCATATGGAATGTGTATCGGTGCCGTGGCCAGCCCTCGCTGACGAGCCGTTCGGGCCCCAACCTGGACACCACACGCAACACAACACAGTACAATACAGACGCCAGAATAGCATACAATAGCACGAATCGATCCTCCGGCGGCTGATACACGCTGAAACGGCCCGGCCCCGGGCCGACCGGCCCCAGGGAGAGCCAATGGGCCAAACAGCCGCGGCTAAACGGAACCGGGTCCCGACCCGGGCCCTCGTCCGGATACCGGACACACACAGCCCACCGCACCAGCCCCGGCACCAACCGCACCACCGTGGGCACCGATCGCGGCACCACTTTGGGCACCACTTTGGGCAGTGTCCGCCAGTGCCGAATCCGCCCAGCTCAGGCTCACTCCTCCGGGCACGGGACTCGGGCCTTACGGAAAGAAGCAGACACTGCAGTAGCGATAAGGGTAGCGCACGGCCTCCACTCTAACGCCTCTGATGTGTCAGTGACACGTGTTCGACTGTCAATGAAAGTGCAGTCCGTGACACGCCATGTGACAGTCAGTTCAGCCGACAGTCGCTGCGACACTGACACGGCCCTGACGGCTGGTCTCTGTAAATTGCAATGCAGGGCTCGACCGCTCAGCTGCCACGGAGGCAGAAAACGGCCCCAGCGGATCAGAATCACAGTCCGTCAGCGTTGGACCGTCTCCACGCAGTGGCACACGCCCCACGACTCGACAGGGCACTGCCCGCTCCCATGCCTCTTTCTCTCTCCGCTTGTATTTATCTGGTGCACCTGGTACTGGAGACGGACTCGTCCCGGTCCATGGTTGGCAGGCAGTGACTCTTGGATCGACTCCCGTTCCAGCGGAGGAGTCACCGACTCCTTACACCGGCTCCCGGGTTCCTCGGCGGTATTCTGACTCGTTCACCCTTGTCTCTGGGGTCCCTCTGTGGTATTCTGACTTCCTACACCTGGCTCTCGGGTCCCTCTGCGACGTGTCTGAAGGACTCTCGCAGGCTGGTCAGCTGCAGACCACACAGGTGGCCATACACCTTGTTGTACCACTCTGGGGAGCAGCCCCTGTGAAAGAAGAAAGACGTCAGTTAGTGACGGATTTATCAGGTTCAGTTAGTTATCGAAAATGTATGATCAATAACTTAGCGGCAAAGGATGGCACCGCAGGTGCGATATGCGATAAGCCTGATATCATGCCTCACTGAATTCAAAATGATACTAAAATAGCGATCTTTTCCGAACTTCTTAGCTATGCAAATCATTTGCGGTTCCACATATTACGGGAATATTCCATTTGAATGCATTGCTGGAAAGGAGGGTATGCTTACATAAGCGCAACTTTCCAACCAGTGTTCGAAATCATATTTATTCCCGTTACAAAGCAGACTGCGGGGTGGGGCGACCCGCCACCTGCCACAGCTGCTGTGGGATCGATCACCGGACGCCCGCCCCGCGGTCCGCCTCTAACACGAATCCTGCCCACGCCGGCCCGACTGAGGGCCATTCCACGGAGAGAGGACATTTCGGACGGCTCAGCGCCGACTATATATCCTGTGATAGACGACACTACATCAGGTCGGCACCGGTCGGCGGCCATTCGGCTCCCACGCGTCCCAGCGGACCGCGGATTTATCATCATATCACCATAAGAGAGCCAACTGAGCCCAATAGCTCCCGGAAGCGCCGCCGCTGCAGCTTGGTCTCTCTCTCTCTCTCTCTCTCTCTCTCTCTCTCTCTCTCTCTCTCTCTCTCTCTCTCTCTCTCTCTCTCTCTCTCTCTCTCTCTCTCTCTCTCTCTCTCTCTCTCTCTCTCCTCTCTCTCTCTCTCTCTCTCTCTCTCTCTCTCTCTCTCTCTCTCTCTCTCTCCTCTCTCTCTCTCTCTCTCTCTCCTCTCTCTCTCTCTCTCTCTCTCTCTCTCTCTCTCTCTCTCTCTCTCTCTCTCTCTCTCTCTCTCTCTCTCTCTCTCTCTCTCTCTCTCTCTCTCTCTCTCTCTCTCTCTCTCTCTCTCTCTCTCTCTCTCTCTCTCTCTCTCTCTCTCTCTCCTCTCTCTCTCTCTCTCTCTCTCTCTCTCTCTCTCTCTCTCTCTCTCTCTCTCTCTCTCTCTCTCTCTCTCTCTCTCTCTCTCTCTCTCTCTCTCTCTCTCTCTCTCTCTCTCTCTCTCTCTCTCTCTCTCTCTCTCTCTCTCTCTCTCTCTCTCTCTCTCTCTCTCTCTCTCTCTCTCTCTCTCTCTCTCTCTCTCTCTCTCTCTCTCTCTCTCTCTCTCTCTCTCTCTCTCTCTCTCTCTCTCTCTCTCTCTCTCTCTCTCTCTCTCTCTCTCTCTCTCTCTCTCTCTCTCTCTCTCTCTCTCTCTCTCTCTCCTCTCTCTCTCTCTCTCTCTCTCTCTTCCCGATTTTCTCAGATCTAAAACCTTTGTAAAGCTCTTAGAAGCCCACAAGGGCGTCTTATTTCATCCGGTCATCTTCCTTCCCGTTCGCCCGGGTGCCACAGACCACTGTCTCGCTCACTGGAGGTCACAGGTCACCAGAGAGGTCACCTGACGGCTGGCCTCTGACACTAACCTGTGGTCGGCGCGGGAGAAGTGGGTGACACGCGACTTTCCGGCGCCGCACGGCTCAATCAGGTACCGGGAGGCGAGCACCACACCGCGCCGGCCGCCGGGCTGGACCGGGGAGTCTGCGGAGGGAGACACTGTGGTCAGAGGGAGGGCTCACTTCGGGGGAGGGCTTGAATTAACACCGGCAGAAAGTGGGGCACTCAACTGCCTGGTAAGTGGCTGCTAACCAGAGCCCTGACCCTGAACAAGAGCTGGACTGGGACACACCGCCATCACCAAACTCTTGCGATCGAACTGTAGTCGAGCACGATAAGTCGTGCGATGTGATGGACTTATCAAAGGTTTTAAAAACTCAACGGTGTGTCATTGGCAGGATGTTGTGCCATCAGAGATCGTAATGGAACCTGCGTGCAGCTCTCTAATATTTCAATCACAGGTAGATGGGATCGATTAAATTAATTATAACCTCAATAAGGCTACGTCAGTCTACCTGTGTTGTCTATCGATTCGAAATCGTCCAATCACGACACATTCATAAGGCCTAACACAGCGAAAGTGGAAAATCATGTGTGGCGTCGATGAGGTGATGGCAATTTTATCGTTCGCAAATTGCCAAACCCTGTTTTATGCCTAGCTTCACCGGCTAGCTGAAAAGTTGCGGAAAACCTAGCGTGCGGCGGGCGCATTTCTGGCGGCGGCTAGGCTGAAGGCTCGGCGTCGGCTCAGCGACGCCGGCAGACATTTCAAACCCGGTGAATAATGAACTCGGCACGGCGGGTGACACCGAGCCGGCGGCCGACACGGCTCGGGGGAGTTACCACAGGATGGTCCCGTATATCCACTGTCACCAGGACCTAAAACATGGATATTTCTCGGAAACTGAGCGTCACACCAGTCACCGAGCCTTACTTTCTATATATAACCACCCAACAAACCCCGTTCCACGTTTTTGGACTCACCTGGGTGCTCCACAGACGTCTCGACGACGGCGCAGGCGCCGCGCGGCAGGTCCGAGCGCCAGGCGCGCAGCACGCAGTATTCTGTAACGGGCAGCGGCTCGACGGCTGACACGGCGTACTGGAACACCTCGGCGTCCGCCGCCAGCCGCTCCACCACGCGCCACTTGACCAGCCGCAGGTCATAGGCGTGCCTCTGGCGCAGCAGGCGGTGCAGCACCTCGGCAGGCGGCGCCTCCAGCTCGACCCCGGCGCGCCACAGCCGCAGCTGGTGGCCGTCCCCGACCTTACGGTAGGCCAGGTCGAGGCCCGGGTCGTCGGCTGCGACCGTCACCCAGCCGCGGGGCCGGTCGCGCGCCTCCCGCAGCAGGGCGGCGCAGCAGGCGTCTGTGTAGGCGCGCCAGCTGCCCGGCTGCTCCTCGGTGCCCAGCGCCGGCAGCGCCACCGGCTGCGACACGTCCAGGTAGGAGAACCGGCAGCCGGACAGCAGGTCCTCGGGCAGGCAGAACAGCGCCTCCGACTGCCGGGAGAACACAGACGTCGGTCAGTGGCGGCACGGGGAAGGGCCGGGAACCGGATATACGCTGTTATTTTATACTAAAAGAAACAATAATGATTTTCCAGTATGTCAAAAAAGACCATAACCATGAAAGACGCTGAATGCAGGCATCAATTATCACTTTCTACATAAAACTGATGATAAAAACATTACAACTCTACTCCATTTCACACGCAGTCCCGAGGTATTCGACCCACCTGTCGGATGAGCGCGGCCAGACACTCGTGCGCGGCGCGGTTCTCGTTGAGCTCGCGCTGGTCGGGCACCCCAGCGCGGCGCGTGCGGCGCGGCGAGGCGGACGCGGAGCGCTGTGAGGTGACGGAGAACACGGAGGGCGCCAGGCAGACGGCCAGGTTGTGCGCCGTCATCTGGTTGACGTAGGATGCGGCGGCCACGTCCGAGAGGAAGGCCAGCAAGGTCTGGAGAGCCAGCCGCGACTCGTCCGGCATCAGCAGCAGGGCGCACTTGGTGGCCTCCAGCCGCAGCCCGGACGGAACGTCTGTGAAGGAGAGGGCGGGACGGGTTAGAAGCTGCGGAGCGGAGGGAGGGTTAAATAGAGATTAACGAGTTATGGTAAGGGAGGCAAGACAGACCACGGCAGGTAGAGGATAAAAAGACACCGGTTGGAGGCGTATCAGAAGGGAGGTTATATCGATCATAGGGTGGACACTGGACAGGTCATATATGGTTCAGTGGTTAGGTAACGTAAAAGGATAAAGGCTAGAAGTCGCGGGGAGGTACATTTGTTCACAGACAAACACAACTACGACCTATAAAACCCCACCAGCCATTTCACAGCAGCACCGGCCTAACACAAATGAAATGAAACACCCCGTTCGATCGCTCCGGCGGGCGGCACCGAAACATTGCGTGTCAACACAGACAGGCCGCCGCCGGTGCCGCTCAAATATCCATTAGGTAGATTGGCGATAAGCTCATTTATAACATAAGCAACACGCCCATTGCCACCGTTGTGTTTTCATAACCCTTCAACATGCCCCACCATCCCCATTGCGTGAGTTCCTCGTCCGCTCATCAATACCAACGCCCTATCTAATAAAATTACACCGAACGTTTTCCAGCCACACACACACACACACACACACTTACACTGATAGATGGCGATCAGGATCTCGGAGATCTTGTGCGTGAGCAGCACCTCGGGAAGCTCTCTGAAGTACTGTTTGATCATGTCGGCCACGTCGTACGCCTGGTGATCGTCAAACGGCAGCGGTTCGTCGCCGTCGGCAGCCTCGCACATCTCACGGACCTTCTGGATCCGCGAGCGCACGCCAGACTTGCGGAACAGGCCCACCTAGGGGAGGAGGGCGAGCGTTGTAACGACCTCCGACACGGCTGTTATTGGGTGGGGATTGGGGAAGGTGGTGGTATGTACCTACTTATCAACTGACTAGCGCAGCGTGGAATATGCTACTCAAGACTGAAAGTAATTAACATTAAAGCGAAACATTTCATCACAGTTTGTTCTCAGGTAGTCCCAGGAAGCTCTGCACCGTGGGGCGTCGAATCAATGCAGTGGCACATTCCTCACCGCTCTGCCTCGCTCCCAGCCTCTCTCTCACAGCTCAATCGACCGCCAATGCCCTCCATCATCTCTACCGCCTCAACTCGCTGCCGAGGCGCCGGTTGGCCCGACTGCCCGGGGGCGGCATCGCTCATACCGGGGCCGGAACGCACCTGGGCCAATCCAAACCCATACACTCGATCTAGAGGATCTGAAGGGAACTCATCCATCTGGTCCAAACGAAACCGATGCTACAGGTCTAAAGGAGAACACACCTGGGCCAAACGAAAACCCGCCCATCTGGTCCAAACGAAAACCATCCACCCCGTCTAAAGGCGAACCCCCTTCACTCTTCATCGAAGCTCACCTGATCGAGGGCGTTTTTGCGCAGGTAGTCCATGGCGGCGACGATGGTCGGTGGCAGCGGGTGGCCGCTGCGGCGAGCCGTCACCGTCAGAGGAACACCAAACACCCGCCGGTCCCGGTAGTCGGGCACGCGGAACTTGCGCATGAACTTGGGGATGTCCCAGTTCCAGTTGGAGGACTTGGACGGACAGTGACGCTCCATGGTCGCCGTGATCCTGAAATGAACGAGGGTGTGATGTTAGTGATGTGATGTGATGATGATGTGAAGAAGATGTGAACCAGTGATGGTTTGCAGGCGACGTGAACTAGCATTACATGATTAGAAATACGCTAACTTCGCGAGAAAATTTCCCCTCCTTACTAACATTTTAACGTTTTCACCTCACACCGTTCAAACGTCTCTATTCGAGTTTCTCCGACTCCCACTATTTTCCTCACGGCTGGCGCAGCTGCGACAATGAATACCAAGAACCCGCGGCTGCGGCATATTTACGTCTGGACAACGAGTTGCGGGGAAAAGTGCTGATTGTGTTGCAGTTTTAGGAGCCGGTGATTGGGCTGGATTTTTGGGTTACTTTTTCGTTCCGATTCATATATTTCATAGTGTTTGGCTTTTTAATATTTTAGTTCTTTCAGATAAATATTACTTGCCTTACAACTTTTGTAAAAACGTTTCATTTTTTATAAGCCGACGTTCAGAGTCCTAAAAATACATCAGCACTACAATCATTGTAAACAAACAAATGGAGCACACAACTTGGCTCTGTTCCAAGGCCATTTTTTAGTTTATCTGGTGGTTTTCTTGCTCTTGTACGTCGTTTTGTTGGATGTTTTGAATCCCTTAAGATTGAATTATATCATATTTAAGAAGCATGTTGACTGAAAACAATCTGAAGTATCCAGGAGGCTGACAGAGGTCCTGACGTCAGACTACTGAGCAATATCAATATCAAGTTGAACAAGTTATGAAATTTTGGTTGATAAACCCAAGTTGATCGGGCTCATATATCAGCAAGAAAAAGTAAAATTAAAAGAGCTTATTGTCCAAAAACAAGCTATAATATTGCAGACCTTGGAGCAATACTGAAGAGCACGCTGAGCAGGATCATGCCAGAAAATGTTGACTGATGAGCGCATATTGATGTATTGGTATGAATATTGAATGATAACTTACAACAGCAAGATAAATTAGTGCTAACTATCAAGTTAAAATCTAGAATGAATGGACTTGGGCAGTTTTACTATGCTTAGATGCTATGCAGATTGTAATGTGCATCAGGTACTCAGTGTCTGGCAAATGAAACATGCGATCATTCCATTGCTACTGGAGGAGAAAGCTTGGATCACTAAATCCACTTTATGTTGATTTTGATGTTAATCATCATCACTGTATTTCTTTAAAAAAGGATTGTAGTAAAATTGTCAATGTGACAATCCATGCAACGATGTGATCATATTATGTGTTCATAGTCATTCGTGATAGTCATTATTGGTCAAATATACAATGGCAAAGCTCTCAGTCTCAGCGTTTCTTCCTGTGGATGGCCAGCAGTGACTCAGAGCTTAGAAGTATTAGTTTTCTTCACAGGGCTGGGATAAAAAGTACTGAGCGTAATCTTCCACCAAGGAACTCTACTTTGACATGGTATGAGATGTAGCCTGTAGGCACAAGTAGGTATGTGCTCAGTTCCTATAGTCAGTAGTTGTGTATGTTTAGTCGGGTTAGCTTAGATCAGATTGTTAGTTTTTTAATTTGCCAAATGTCCATAAAAATGTAACCTGAGCAATGAGCATACCTGAACCTGACTAACCTGACAGCTGACCTAACCTCAATCATCACACATATTTGCAGCCTACCCAAGACCTGCATGGCAGTAGCACCCAGTTATAGGTAGGTACTCACCCTAACTCAATCTTACCTGCTAACCTTCAACTTGCCAAAAGTTAGCTCACATTGCCAAGCTGTGTCCAGGGAAACAGTCAACTGAGGAACTGGCTCATTGGGTGGCTGGTGTGAGTCTGTGCATTTAAAGTGTTTCTTCTCTGAAGCTGCTCTGCACTGCTGTATGTCATGTTAGATGCTCAGAAAATGTGGGAAATGATTACTAAGCTACTTTAGTGCTTTGTTAATGCTCGAGACATGAACAAGTACAGATCCTGCAGGGTACAGCTATGAGTTAGGTGCTAGGTGAGTAGAGTATGTTATGTGAATGTGCTGTTCCCTGTTTGACCGTAAGTATACAAACAAGCACAGGGTCACAGTTATATTCAATCTCCACATAAACATACAACAAAAACGGCCATATAACCTAACTCTGAACACACCACAGATAACTTTAGCCTTTGAAGGCACAAAAATGCTTTGATTAACAGGACAGGTTTACAATATATCCTCTGTCCTTGGGGGATCTTGCTGCCAAGTTGAGGTATGATGACTGAACTTCAGGATTGATCAACCTTTTCTTAGCCACTGCTTGTATACGAGAAAGACCAAATGCTTGTTTGTTTTGATTTACAGGACATGTATACAATATATCCTCTGTCCTTGGGGGATCTTGCTGCCAAGTTGAGGTACGATGACTGAACTTCAGGATTGATCAACCTTTTCTTAGCCACTGCTTATAAACGAGAAAGACCAAATGCTTGTTTGTAAACTGCGTTGAAAATTTAATGATCTGTCAATTCTGACATGAAGGCACAAATGAAATAGTTCCCTCTCCTTTTGGAATACACAAAGCAAAATATTTAATAAATTTTAGTGGATGGACAAGAGCAATTAGCATAGCTTTCCCTCTGTTGATGAATTACACTGACGCTTATTCGCTTCATATTTTGTAACAAACGCGCTAAAACTGCAATATAACAGCACTATATGCTTCTTGACAAAATGCAATAGTATTAAAAATTTAGCCCTGATGGCATTCATTCTTGTTGGAAACGTAATTACAAAATATTTTGTAGTAACTATTAAATTCCGGCCGAAAACAGTGCACGGTTTAAAAAAGAATCATTCCAATGACGGTCCATTCTTGCGGTCCTGAAATCGCCACTATTTCCGGCCTCTCCAACGCAACTCGTTGTCCAGACGTAAATATGCGCGGCTGCGACCATCACTCATGCTTTAGTCGCGGTTTGATCTCCGTCCGCCGCACACGGCGAGCCCGCAGCGCCCGCAGCACGGCGGCCGCCCCCGCCGTGCAATCTCGCCGGTGATTTCTAGCTAAGCCACGTGACGGGGGCCCACACCGTTCCTCTGGGGACGCCGGCGACGGATGTACCAACTGCAGCCGGCGCTCGGCACGGCGAATCACTAATGAAACACGGCGCTGGCGGCTGGCGTGAGGAGCTAACGAAAACTGACGGTTTGGTGTCGGAGGACGGGACAGATTTGGATATTCGAGAGCGGGATCTCCTGGGAGGAGGGCTGTAGTGACAGTGAGCTGGGACGGGCGTGTCGGGGGAGAGGAGAGAGGAAAGGTAACATATGTGAGCCACCGCGAGTGTCAGCAAGAACAGGCAGTATTGTAGTGATGGAGGCGTGCCGGTGGTAAAAACGACAGGAACGAAGCCCAGAGGGCGTGGAGAGCCATCTGAATTCAGCACGGCTTGCTAATGCAATTTACCGCAATATGACCAGAATGAGAGTAGCATAGTGCAAATGAAAAGAAATGATCACCGAAACATTGCAGGATCATATCCCATGTGAGCATGAGCTCAGCTAAGAATACCTCACATCGTTTAAGCTAAAATGCAAATAAGGCATTGAAGATGGATCATCCGACAAATGCATCCATTACCAAACCATCTTGAAGAACGTTCTCAGAAGCTAAGCCCACTAGGGTTTACCGTTCCCCGTACCGCCCACCTAAGGCCCCAGAGGGAAACTACTCAAGATATCCACCGAACAAATCATCTCTGCCTGGCGTCTAATTTACAGACGTTCTGGTTCCCCAAACAGAACTCGCTCGCCGCCGGGTCGCGCCGCCGGCGGTCGGAGCCTCACCTGAGGAGGGCGTGTTTCTTCAGCAGGGCGATCTGCCCGGAGGACAGCCGGGAGATGTGGGTGGGACAGATGGGTGCCGGCGCCGGCCGCGTGGTTAGCAGACCGCTGCCGCTCCGGTGGAAACTGTGCCAGCGCACCACGTTTGTGCTGGGGAAGGAGAAAATCAAGTCAGAAACTGTCGCCGAATATTAGGTGTGCTTGGAGATTGAGCAGGTCTTTCACTGAAAACACTAATCGAACTTCCAGAAGGTTAGGCAGGGATCCTTCTAGAGAACAAGCAATTAAAGCATATGTAACTATACAAAGCAACACACTACATAGATAACTAACGAACCTACGGCGAATGAAGCAGTAGCTGCTAGCTGCTAGCTCTAGCTACATCTACTCGCACCCGGAAAACATCCCTTCACACCGCCGTCCACCTCTGTAGAGATGTCGCTGCGGTCGGCTCACCTGCGCGGTTTCTGCTCCTGGTCCGAGCCGGCGGTGGATGGCAGCGATCCCTCGGAGCTGTGGCTCACACTGGTATCACAGCTGCCCGAGCGGCCGCGAGGCTCTACCGTCTGGATCTGCGGACTCGAGTTGGCGCGCGCGTCGCGCACGCCCGGGCTGGGCGGCGTGCCCGGGGCGTCGTCATCGACGTAGACCCGGTTGTAGACGACGATCGGCGTGTTGTCGTAGGTGCTGACCCGGTGCCGCTCGGGCGTCTGAGGCGGGGGGCACTGCGGCGGCAGAGGCCGCTCCATAGACTCCTTGCGCTTCAGCTTACCTGCCGGGGAATAACGACCCGTCAGCGGGCGTGACATGGCATGGAGATAGGGGCGACACGTCAGAGGCGGTGACAGTGTTGACATAGGACCGGTTTGGTAACCAGTCATAGCGGTGGCTGAGATAAGGGGCAGCGTGCATTGCCGCAAACCGCAGACTGACCGACTGGCACGGGTGAGCAATACCGTGATTAATGACTCTACCGAGAAAATAATTTCACGAAGTTTCTCAATAATCTCAACACCTGACCAGGCGAGAAAACCACCCAAACTTACTCTGCAGCTTCCTGCGGTAGCCCTGGCTCTCCTTGCCCATGTTCAGACTGCTAGACCTCCATCCGGCTCCGTGAGACGATCCGACCCTCAGACTGCCACCTCTGTGTCTGCTCAGCTTCGGCGAGCTCGTCTGCAGAAAATCCACGGTATCCGAGCCGTTGCACACGTTACTGTTGGCATCTTTGGCCGGTTTTCCGGGCGTGGCGAGCGCTCGGAACAGCGGCGGCGAGTGTTCACCGTCCGAGAGGGCGCCGCTGTCGTCCCGGGCCGGCCGCGCCGTCCGCGGCGAGCCACTGGCGTCCGACGCAGAGAAGTACGACGACGAGTCGTCGCGCGGCGCCTTCTGAGCGCGTTTCCTGCGCGCGCGGAGGCTCTCCATCCGGCGGAGGATGCCGTCCTGGAGCCGCTCTCGGCCGCTGCGCCGCTCCGGCGCCGTGCCGCCGACGCTGGAGTCCGAGTTCAGGGTGCTGTTGGAGCTGGCGCTGGGAGGGCTGGCGGCGGCCGGCGCCGGCGGCACCGCCTGGTGACGCCGCCAGCGCTGCGAGTGGCGCAGGTACGACCAGTTCTCACTGATGGCGCGCGACTCATCGTCGTCACTCTCCTCACCCTGAAACGGACAGAGGGTGGCCGGTAAAATCATGAGGCTCTGCTAGGAGGCGAGAGAAGTGAAGACATTAATGATGAGATCGGGACATATTACATATGAGTGGTGAATTCAAGGAAAGCCGTGAATTAGTGTGACAATGAGATTCGGTTTCAATTAATTAATCTGGTTAATCAGAGCTACATAACTCAAGGAAAATGAGCATCAAGAGTGAAAGGAACAAACGAATAAGCCGGAATGAGACGGTGAAAGCGGTGGGTGACCCCTGACAAAAGTCACTCTGAGCTTCCTGAATGGAAAACTAACAGAGGGATTAACAGGTGAAGCCATGGACACTAGACAGTAAACGGTTACTTTTCCACTGCAGTGAGACAGGCGATAACGAACAGCTGCCGGGTACTGGCCTGGCGAAAGCCGTCGCTCAGCCGCAGCCCTGCACCACTATATGACGCATCAAAGTCGGTCCCCGCGCCGATAAAAAAGAAGAACTAGCGACAGGTTTATGTCCAGAAGACAGCTTTCATCATAAATCCAGAAAAGCGTTGATGAAAGCTAATGAATCACAATTCCTGAGAGCCTGTCCATTTGGCTGAAGTATTTTGACTCATAACCGGCCGTATAGCGCACGCATTTTCTCCGTAATTATACTCACGCAGCGGCGCAGCGCCAGACTTATCTGGCAATTAGCTTCACAATTGAGATACTGTTATAAAACAGCCGTCAGCGTCTTTCAGCCCGGTTATCACGGGACAATCGTGCCAGGCAGCGCAAGAAGTCGGCAAGACTTGGGAACGGCCAGTCACGCCAGGCAATTTTCACTGGCGCAAATCGGTCGGACAGCCTTGCCGCGCGGTGCCGCTCGGGATATCGAACAAAACAGGCCACTACCTGGCGTGTGACCGGCCCTGCACGAGACAGCCGCTAGCGCGAGCGGGTAGAGCACGAGGTCACCGTGCAGCGGCGCCGCTCTGCCTCGAATTACTGGGGCGGAGCGGCGTGCCGTGGCGCGTGGTTCCGGGCCCCGCGGCAGTCTCCACAGTGGCGGCCGAACAATGGCCGCTATGGTGCTGCACTGTGTGGCACCGGCCGGCTGCAGCTCCCGGCCGTGGCGGCATCCCATCGGCCGGCCCGCGGCTTCCGGCCGCCGCAATGGCATGTAAATGGAGCAGCTTCACTTTATAGTCAGACCATAAGAGTGAGCGGACACGCGACTACCTTCCGTAGCTCGCTAGCCACCGCTGTCGGCGGCTCAGGATGTGAGGGGACACGGGATCCGTCCCCGCTGAATAAGACGCTGACGAGGCAGTGTCGTCCGTCCATTGAGGTCCGGCCGGTCCCGTGTCAGCCAGGTGACAATACCGTGACACCGGTAACACTAGGTGTGGGTACGGCCGCGCCTGGCGACGACCATTCAGGAAAACGGCCGCTGAGGACCGGACAGGCGGCACGCGACCCTCCCCTCCCTCCTCCGCTCTGCACTCGAGCCGATTGGCTGTGTCGGGGCCACTCCAGGGCCCTCCAGCAGCGGAGGACGGCACTTGGCGAGGGTCGCTGCTCGCTGTCCACTGTCCGGCAGCAAGGCGACTCGCTCGATTGGAGAGCCATTCAGGGACTAATATAGCGCGGTCCGGCACTGAGACGGATCGCCCTGGGAACGAGCGAGCTCCCAGCGCCCACCCACGGCGCGCGACAAAACGAACACCGCTCTGCTCGCGCCCAACACGGATAAAGGCCGATCTACGAGTGTAGGACAGGCAGTTTCTCCTCAGATCCAGTTAGCGATCACATCTGGACACGCTTTTCGCCAGTCTGAAAGCGTAACGACCAATGACTGCTCTCGCCTAATGAGTTAATTTTTGCAAGCGGCCCCATTGTCAGAAGTGGTTATCACTGACAGTGAAGTGTTGCAGAACGAAAGAGCAGTGAATGCTCATTGGCAATCAATTGGTCAACCGGAGACCTGCAGCGGAGCGAGAGGCGGAGGCGGCAGTTGCGCCGGCACCGGTCCGGTGACGGTAACAACCCGTCCTCGGCGCGTTCCTGGTATTCCAGCGCGGGCCAGAAATCCGATGACACACCGCTCCATATGCGGAGCTCGGGTGCTGATATGACTCAGCCGCCACTTTAGCTCCAGTTGTCCAGCTGAGCCACAAACACGATCGACGTGGAGCCGCTGGGAAACCATCAGTTGCCGATCGGCACGCTATATCACAGCACAGGTGGAGCTCAGAGCTGAGCTCATCCGGCGTCGAGCACCAGTGACTCAGGGCTCACTGATCGCTGCGATGGGCAGCGCCACATGTTGTAACGCACCGGTAATGCAGGCTCCTCCCTTCGATATTCAAATAGCCTCCGATGACATCATATCGATCCTCCGATCCTCCGAACGGTCGCTCCGTCCGTCCGCAGCTACCTCTGCCGACCGGTTCGTCTCGGTCGTTCGTCCGTCTGTGCAGCTTCTTCCGTCTCCGTTTTTTACTGCTGACATATCTGACATTCCGGGATTCGACTCGGACAGAAAGCTTGTCGTAAATGTCACTTACCACCTAGCCATCCGTACCGCCGGCGGCCCAGCAACAGCTTCAAACTCTCTGTGAATTAGCCGCCAGAGACCGCCCAGGCCGGGCGGTGAGCGGATCCGCTCGGCCATCACAGCCGCCGCCGGAGCCGCCGGAGTCTCATCCTCGGGCTGACTCAGCCCCGGTCCCGGCCGACCCGCCCGTGCCCATCCGGTAACACCTACTATGGATACTATGACCGACCGCCAGTCCCACAGTGCCCCGCCCCTCCCCGTCCCTCCCCGCCCGACTGGTTCCTCTGAAGGCGAGTTGCCGCCCTGCCGTGACCGCTCATAGCCGAGCTGAGCTACGAGGGCGGCGCGGCGGCGCGTTTCAAAGCGCAGCGAGCGCTCGGCGCGCACGCACACACGCACACGCGTCGGATCGCGATCTCCATTTGGGATTTTCGCAAGCTGATCAGTTGGAGATTAGCTGCACAGAAAGGAAACTGCTGAAACGTTCTCCGCCCAGTCCTCGCAGCGGGGAAGCCAATCAGCTTCAATTTCTTTGCAGTCAGACGCGCAGAAAGATCCGTTTGGCGCCCCGCAGGCCTCAAACGCAGGGTCTGGACGGGCGCCGGAGGCTCCGGACCCTCCCAGAGAGCGCTGAGGCAGAGGTTTTAGGGAGGGGCCTCACAACTTCCTCCGTGGCTCGGTTGACGACCTTGTGGTCATTCGAGCCCGCCTGATCGGGTGGGCTCGGTCGAAGTCGAGTTGTATCGAGTCTCAGGCGCATCGGGAGGCTGAATCACACCCTGATCGGGTGGTGATTCTAGGCAGAGGAGCTGATATTCCAGGCAGTCGTCCGAGACGGGTGTTGTGGCCGAGCGGCGGCGGGCAGAGAGTCCCCGGGGTCACCCCACGACGTCCAGTCGCCGTCCAAATCGGTGACCGTCGCTGATCCGCCGCTGATCTGACGAGCCCGCCTCTGAGCTGATCGTCAGACGGCGCTGTGTCGATCACTGACCCCATCTGACCAGCCAGCAGTGAAAGCATGCAGTAGGCACTGCTGAATTCGCAAACATGCAGAATGATTTCACAGCTCAGAAACGCAGACTCAACAGAATCTAACGCAGCATGGCACCAACAAAGGCTGTCTGTATAACCAGTCAGTCGAAAAGCTAAAACGATCCACGACTGTCCGCCAGAATCAATACCTTCGCCGAAGCCCGCCGACTGACCGGCTGGCTCTGTCCATCGGGCATCGCTCTCTTTCCAGGAAGATTTACGACTGTTGGGCCCCTGTCAATCACGGCAGATCTGGCGGGCCGCGGGGCAGGGTCCACCGGCCGCCCTCCGCCCGAGTAAACATCTCATCACCGTGCGTCGGCGACGGCGCAAACAGAGCTGTGAGGGAGTGCTGGGCCGACCGGCAGTACCGACACACCATTCGTCTTTCAACTGTCAACGACCGTAGGTGTCAGTCGGACCGACAGTTAGAGACGGTCGGCTCGACAGTTGGAGACGGTCGGCGACAGTTAAAGACGGCAGGGACGCTCAGCGAGCATCACGGGACCGCCCCGTTACCCTTGCATCAGAGGGAGGCGAAGCGTAATGAACGAACGGAGAACGGTGCGAGGGATAAACAAAACGGAGCAGACAGAGGGATGGGCCATCAGCTGTCAACGTAAGACACACCCACCAGAGGCCGGTGATGGACTGTGGCGACCATGTGACCCGTCATGACCTGTCACAGCCTCATTTGACCTGCAGTAACCTCAGTGACCTATCGTGACGACGGCGGTGGCATTCATTTTATCCGGGCGACATATCTCACCCAGCGTGAGTCTAATGAAATAAATTCCAGCCGCCTGCGTGAAATCTCATGAGAGTTCACGGTTGACCTCTGGGGTCGGTTATCACCTACACACATCACCTTGACCACAAGTTATTCCAGTCATCCACACCTGAGTAGTGAATAAAACTAGGCAAACTGATCCTACTCACCACACGTCGGACGACTCCCTCCAGTTTCATATTGGTGGCCCTGTTCACTGTGTTGATCCTCTTGAAGAGCGCATGCCGACTGTCCAGATCCAGAGAGGGGTGATCGCTCTGCACCGAGCGCAGGTCTATCGGGCAGCGGCACTCTGAAACGAACGGCGCGCGTCGGTCAGCCCCGCCCGCCGTGTCCACAGCTCATACACATGCGCACACATACACGGGAACGGGACCCACAGGCACACACCGTCCGCTCGTGCGTACGTGCGTGTGACCGTCCTACATAGTCGGCCGGCGCCGGGCTGGATTCCTCACATCATCCTGGTCACACAGAGGCGGCACTGTGCGCGGCAAACAGAGCCGCGCCGTACAGTCGCGAGCGGCGGGTTCCGGTCGGAGTAGGAGGGGGACTCGCCATCGTGTCGCACCAGCCACATCGTGTCGAACTAGCGTGCCTCTACAGATATCATCGACGACAATCCTGCAGTATCTCTTGACTCTGCTTCGGTCTATCCTGTCTCTTTATTACTCTCCCCTCCCCGGCACCAGTTCGTCAGCTCGTCATGCGCTGATGACCCGACCTTTGGTGACCTCTGCAGCGGCGCCGGGGACCAAATAAGGCGTCCGGCCGGGCCCTGAGCCGCCACTGCCGCCGCCGCCGGCCAGCTATGAGTCAGGGCTAATGACGGGCTTGGAGACGGGCGGACAAAGGGGGCGTGACGGTCCGCCCGCATAGCCGCCCACCAGGGCTGTCACCGCCACCGGCGCCCGAGAAAGGGTGACGGGGAGGCGGAGGGCAGCGGGGAAGTGGGGCAAATGGATTGAATTCGTAATGCCTTTAACTCTTCAGCCATATAAAGCTGGTTTATGAGTACATAAAACTGCAAGGAATGCTTACATTGCGTACTGCATACCCACAAAAAAACTGACCCGATTTTAAACGTTTTTGGTCCCGAGTGACCGAAATCGACAAGCAAATGCCTCATATAAAACAAACTTTCCGTAACGGCTGGAGTTCAACGTCCGCTCCAAATTCAGTAGCTCTATGTAGTCTAAGATATACAAAAGCGAAGGCCACCGTTTGAAATAGCCAATCGCCGGGTAGAACGTCGGAGGCGGATTATATTACCCGTGTCCCCTACCACTGACCCCAAACTGTGGCCGGCACACAACGAGGGCAAACATAGGACCCCATGAAACCCATTAGGAGGTGGTATACCGGTTACCGACCCCGCACAGACAGGCCATCAGTCACGGAAAGTTCTGTCGAACCCTCAGCGAGGAGCCGTCACTTCCGACGCGGCTGTTTCGCCAGCACCCAGCTGGAGGTGTAACTGGACACCGCGGCAGCGTCCTGTTTACATAATATTCCCGTGACGAGAGCAGCAGGCCTAGCCGTCCAGATGTCCGTCCGCGGGGTCTGTCCAGCCGGAGTGGCACCAGCATCCAGCGCAAAACTGGACCGGCCTCAGTTAGAGCACCCAGCTGTGCACAGTTCGACGAAGAGACAGCGGCTCTTCTCTGTCCGTTCTACTTTGTCCAGGACCGCGATAAACATATACGGACAGATAAACACCGTGCTCATCTGAGCTCTCCGAAAGGAGACCGCCTGCTCCGAGGGCTCATCGTCGCGCCTTTGAAGTGCCGACCGGGCCTGTTCCACGACTCGTTAGGACGAATTAGCTCGGCTGGAGCCGGCCGCAAATCAAACACTGCCGGGCGCTCCCGGTTCCCTCTGACGTCACAAGTATTGACATAGGTGTGAGAGTGCGAGTGTGACGTCACAGAGATATTGGCAGGGTGCGGCGGGGTGTCCGGTCGAGGCCGTACCAACGCGCACCACGTGGGTGGCGTCGGCGGCGCGCTGGTGTTTGAAGTAGCCCGGTTTCTTCCAGTCGGCCAATTTTGCTACTGTCACAGCTCACAGTCACGAAGGAGGGCGACTAGTGAATGAGTGGCTTTCAGCGCGAAGTCGGGCGGTCGAAGCCGAAAACGAGCACGCGCGGTCAGTTCGTGATGCGCGAGTCCAATCCGTGACTGTAGGAGAGGCGTCCAACCGTGACCGCTGAGAGCACCGTGACAGGGAGTCCGGGCCGCGTCCGGCCGTGACCGGTCCGAGACCACGTGTCCGAGCTGTGTCCGCATGTGTCCGCGTTCAGCGACGGCACCATCTGCCGCGCCGCGGGCGCCCGCGGTGTGCGGCGCGTCCCCCACGCGGCGCGGACACGGTCTGTTCCCACGTCACAGTTTGTGCCGACCGAGGCCGGGCCGGCCCTGCGGACGGTGCACGGGCCGATTCAGCAGGAGGATTCTGCACAGCGTAGGTTGACACGTACTATGCACACACGGCGCTGGGTGATGAGATTACTGACGACCGGTCATCATCCAGCACCTTGCTCAGACCGGGTCCACTGAGCGCGGGGAGGGCAGCTTACCGTCTCACTAACCCAGCAGCAGAGACAGCGAGCCGACCCAGCAAACGCCTCAGTCGACACCGCAAGGTCACGCCAAATTGAACAGGCCGACATGCAAATTACAATGGCTGCGCGCAACTGGTCTGTCACCGTAACGACTACATTGAGCGCGACGGCAGTCCTGCAGAACAAGAGTCGCCAGACACGGTTGGTCCATCAGACAGCAGTTACGCAAATGGGAATTAAACGCCGCCACTGAACACGAGTCATGGCCTTGGGGCGTCGCGCTGGGGGTCGGGAGCGTGCGAATGAGGTCTGCGGGAGCTGCGCTCTGCGTGCGCGTTCGTCTGTGTGCTGAAGGTGCACGTCATCTGGCAGATTCTGCGTCCGGGAGCGCCCTGACAGCTGACAGGAGGCGGCAGCTGCTCGGTGCTCTCACACAGAGGCGCCGCGCACAGACCGGCGGGCGGCGTCAGAACTGGGCCGATCTGCTGGCCGATCTAAGGAGGCGGCGCCGGCCGTAAGCAGCTGGAATGTCTCCCGGCCACCATCGATCACAGAGGGGACGGCGCCGGTGGTGACACGGCGCAGCGGGGCGGCGACCATCTCCGGAGCATCGCCCCCGTAATGGCGGGGAGGGACAGAGGCGGACCCCAGGCGCGTTACGAGTTTTCGAGCAGAGGTGCGAACGGCGAGAAGCTGGATAGGAGTGCCCATAGCAGTCAGAAACACAAAAGGTCTGGAGATTAAATTTCCGGTAACAAATTCCGTCACCGAGTCGCAAAACGTGAGCAGGTTCAGTTAGGAAGCAAGAGAAGAGAAGAAATAAGAGACCAAACTAAAAAAGAAACGAATAAGAGAAGAAACTGACACCAGTAAAAGGAAGAAACTTGGGAGACACAAGTGGTTTACGGATAAAAAGACACAAAAGCCAGCAGTAATTAAAGTCTAAAGGCGATTACAGAGACAAAATGAGCCACAGTCGTAGCAGTGTTCAATGCAACAAACAGAAGATCACGCATATATCAGTGCATCAAACCACCACAAAGAGTGCCAAGCCATGCCCAGATAGAGAAGGCCCACCACCTCACCAAGAGCCGCCAGAAGAGAGGGCGGTGCGTCCAGTCTGCGCACGGGCACACCGAGTCCGGGCAGGCAGAGCTCCACGTCCCCATTGGCCGGGGACCAGCGGGTGGGGCCGCACCACAGGCCCATGGCGTCGTCCGACTCACACACCTCGCGTCTCCGCCGCACGGCCGCGCCTGTCTCCACAGTCACTGCGCGTCGCGTCTGGCGGTGTCACCGTCCGCCGCCCGGAGCACCACGTCTCGCGTCCGCTCGCCGCGCCGGCCGCGTCTCCACTGCCGAGCGGGCCGGGCCGAGCGGAGCGCCCGGGCGCGAGCCGCCGCCCGCTGCCGGCCGGACTTCGGTCCGCGGCTCAAACGATAGACTCGAAGGTCGGCGCGGGGGCCGCTCTCGATCCGCAACCACCAACGTCGTGCCACCAGGATCGGGACCTGTGACACGAGCCAGGTGACCCGTCGCTCGCCCCCCACGGCGACGCACACTGTCCGGGAGAGAGCCGCACCAGCCGCCGTTTTCAGACGGTCGGGCGGGAAACTGTCATGTTCTACGCTTAGCCTGCGGGGGAGTCTTGTGGTTGGCAGCTGACCCAAAGTAAACACGTTAATCCAGGGCGGCTTGCTCGGCAGCACGGCGATGATGGAGCGGAGATAAACAGCTGCCGCCACAGTGCCAGCGGAGTCAGCGGGGACGAACTGACCGGGAACGGTACCCAGAGGGCAGCTGGAGCCTCCCCGCGTCTCCGCCGCGCGCTGAGGCGCTCAGCCCTGCGTGCGCTCCAACCTCCCCTCCAAGCTGCAGCTTCAGTGCGCTAAGGAGCACGAACAAGACGGCGTTACTGCGCTCCAAACGGACCGGAACGACCTGTGAAATGGCCCCGAAACGGCCGCTAAAACGGGCCTGAAAACAGCTCCCCGTCGGTCCGCGCCTGCCGACGGCCGGTGTCGCGCACGGCGCCGCGACTTACCGGGTCGAGTTTCCTTGGTAACGGTGCGGCGGCGTGCCCCGGCCCTACACGCCGCGCTGACCGGCGTAGCCACGCGCGTGGGACGTGCTGGCACGCCCCGGGCGCTGAATCAGCCCGTGCCGAACGCACCCCAGTTTGTACCGCCGCCGGCTATGCGCGCGGCCGTAACGGTCGACCCGGCGGCGGCAGAGCGGTTCGAATTCGCGAGCTCCGGGGACGCCCACCGGCGCGGCGGTGCACTAGATTCTGATAGGCGCCGACCGCTGCACGTCAGTACGAGTGTCAATAGGTGACGTTCGCCCGGTGCAACGGTCAACATTGCACGTGAGTGCGGAGTTTACGTCCGACGGTTGGTCGTACTAGAGAGCAACTGTCGAGAGGAGTTTGTGAATTGACCTCAATAGCAACCGATTCTAACAAATGTCAAGTACTTGCATTGATAAAATAGCCTAGCATAAATTGTAAAGCTGTTGAAAAGAATACCGTAACAGCAAATGTCATGAGATTCGACGATGGATTTGTAGGAATTTACTGCTCATCGCGATACCCAGTGCAGACCAAACCGTTTAACCAGCCCGCTGCGGTCCGCCACCTTCGAAGGTGATGCAACGCGAATCGCTGTCCCGTTTGTTTGACAATGTAGCGAGTGATAGATAGTCCGCCTTGTAAACATTTGCCATATGCA